ATTCTGTGATTCTGTGATTCTGTGAATGAGTTTACCCCCAGAGCTGCAGATTGAGAGGGAAACAAAGAAAGAAACCAACACCTTATCCTGAATGGGAAGCATGACAGTAAATATTATCCTGAATGTTTTGGTGGGATATACAAGGGTATTCTGGATCTGTCCCAGTCAAACAGGGATACTGTGTTAACCAACCCTAGATTCTCAGCACCTATACACTGGCATCACTCCATTAATTTTAATATCACTCTATCAGTTTACACTAGCTAATTATCCCTACCAAATGTTTAACAAATGCCTAGAAGCATTGCTCACTCTCACACACACACAGGTACATCACTCTTTTGATTTTCTCTTTCTAACAAAATCTCACAGGTTTTCCTTCAATTGGTCTCTGCATTTATGTCTTTTCCTTGCTAGGTTTCACAGTGTCGTTTTATTCTTGAAGTTCTTCACCATTCATGCTCAGTTCATGTCATTTATTTTTACGTCCATCTGAATCAATGTATATCTCTCTTCACTGCTTTTCTAATACTACTTTTAATTGGGCTTTTTTCAGTGTTTCTTTCTTGCAGTATATTACTGGTTTGTTTCCATGTCATCCTCATGCTTATATGCTTCCTTTTCTGGTTGTTTCTTTTCTTTCTACAAGTGTGACAGCTAAGTGAACCATATTTTGCTTTCACAATGCAGATACTGGCCATAAAGATCAGGATATTGCAGTAATCCTGATTAGAAGCTTTCCACAAAAAGGACAAAATCAGTTTAGGAATAGTGAATTAGTTTTATATGTCACTCTTCCTTTTTATCATATATCTGTAAACTCCTGTGAATTTGTTCCTCCAAGTATATCTAGTGGTTAAACTGAATGCTAGTATATGACAGAAGAATACATAGGAAAAACCTATCCTTATTACTCACTTCTCAAGAAACTGGGAAGAAATATGAAGAAAAGGTTGACAGAGAAATGGTCCAGCAAAAAATTGTATCATATCCCCTGGCTTCTTTGGAATGTAAGGATGTTTTTCTGCTACAGTCAACAGCATGAAGACTATAACCCTTTCTTCTTCCCCTCACTTACACATGACACTTTCCTACTTTCACTTAAAGCTTTGCTATCTGAGTTCCTAGCAGACTTAAAAACATTTATAGTCATCAAATCCCTACGGT